GGGGGGGGGACTTTGTTCTGGGCCAGAGGTCTTGTATCCACGTTTACTGTGTCTTTCTCAGGGGTCCATTTATTTATTTGGTACTGGGGATTTAACCCAGGGGAGCTTTACCACTGAGCTATATCCTCCATCCATTTTTATTTTTTATTTTGAAAAAGGGTGTAACTCAGTGGCTCAGGGCCTTGCTAAGTTGCTGAGGCTGGCCTTGAACTTGAGACCCTCCTGTCTCAGCCTCCTGAATCTCTGGGATTACAGGTATGGGCCACAGCACCCAGCTGAGGGGTACCTTCTGATGCTAGTGTAGTTCTCTGCAGGTAATACGACAAGCATTCTGTTTCTTGGCAACTCATGCAGTCAACTGTGATTTGGGTTAATTGTTTGGGTTCCAATGTGGACACTGAGGGTGGAGATTTCAAGAGAGTCTGATTCTCTGTAGGCCTTACTGCCCTTGACACAGATAAGGGTTGGACAGTGTCTCAGGCCCCAGTACCTCAGAAGGTGACTCTATCCATGGAGGATTTTCAAAGACGTGACTAAGCTATAATGCAGGCTTCGAGCGGATGCACTCCCATCTTACTCTTGTCCTTGTAGGAAGAGGAGATGTGGCATGAACATGTGAAGACACAGGGAGAAGACGGCTGCCGGCAAGCCCAGGACAAAGGACCTCAGAGCGAACCCAGGACACGTTTCCTGACGCAGCACGGTGAGGAGTAACTCCCTATCGCTCCTGTAGCTGGTGCCTCATTCGGTGTGGAAGCCCACGCTGACCACCTCTGGCACCAGCCCTTCCCTCTGGCCAGAAGCAGGGCAGGCTTTGGAACTGTGTGCTACAGTGACTTCCGCAAGGGCAGCCTCTCTCGTCTGCCAGGGGACGGTGTGTTCCCTGTCAGGAGATTTTATGATGTCACCCTCAATTCTCTGGAGATGGGAGTAATGGGGCAGATTCTGAGGATCACAATTCCTGCAAAGCAGAGGCCTCTGTGCGGTCTCCACACACAGGAGGGGGGCTGAGCACCAGCCCTGACCAGGTGGGAGTGGGCCCTTCTGCGGCCTCACAAGTTCAGGGCTGGGGACCGTCCGGGCTCTCAGCTTCAATCCCAGCCACCCCACCCTGTCCCTCAGGACCCTGTTCCTTCATCTGATAAGTCCTCATGCACCAGAGGTCTAGGGCCTTGCACCTCAGTCCTGGGCCTGAGCCTTCCAGTTGCAGGAACCTGGTTCTGTTTATGTCCAAATGACTGTCACTCTTCCTTAATTGGTTATTAATCACTCTTTCCCTTCTACATTGCATCCAAAGAATTAGCAAAAATCACCTTATTCCTTTGATTACAATCCCCAGGAAGCTCTCAGGCAGGGGGATATGGCACCCCGCTCATGCTCACCCACCAGGGCCAATTTTGACACTACCTGACTACCCAGTGCCAGGAGCAGCTTTTCTGCTACCCATGGGGACCAGAAAACCAGCAAGAGATAGGACAAATCTCTCAAAGCTCATGATAAGGTCCCCTTTGTCAGACGTTGCCTAGCACACACTGTCTGAGAGGCGATTCCTGGGAAATCAGCCTCAGAGCCAGGACGCACTGTGATGCAGGTCAGGGGTTAACGAGCAAGATTGTCGAGAGAGGAGCCTGGCATTAAAGACCCGGCCAACCTCCAGGGATTCGAGGGTTTACATGGCTCCTGACACTGTCCCAGAACAGAGGCACCTTCTCCACCCTGGATAGTGCCACGGCTGCAGGTTTCCTGCAGGGAGAAGCCATACCTCAGGGGAAAATGCACTCTTTGGATGAGGGAGGTTGCAGGTGAAAGGCTTGACAATTTCCTTGTGGGACCAGCTGTGAGGCTTTGGCCACCAGCGCTGTCCAGGCTGTGGGATGGCCGTCTTCTACACAGAACAAGGAACCAGGCACACCCCATACCAGCCGTGGCTCTGGAAACCCAAGAAAACCAGCAGAGAGACAGCTTCAGCTTACAGAGGCATGGAAGTGAGACAAGGTCACATCTGCTCTCTTCCCCATGGGAAAGGTGGCAGAACCCTCGGGTCCTAGTACCAAAAGAAATCTCAGTGCTTCCTCCTGCACGTCATCCAGTCTCCACGCAGGAACAAACATGGCCCCACAAGGACACCAGGGACAGCGTTCTGCTGTGGTGCTCTCAATCCTGCCACTATTGATGTTGTGAAAACATTTTTAAAATTTGGAACACAGAAAACCGTCACCATTAACATTCCAGAATTACTGTCTTGTCTTCATTTTGATTAATTCTTCATCTACCCACTCAGTAACTGAGGCCTTTCCCATTGCTGTTATCATAGTCAATTTTGCCTCTCTCGACTTTTTCTTTTGACATTCAACTTCATAGAAATATAATTGAGGTATAATAATGTGCATCAATTCAGAGTGTAGAATTTGGTGAATCTAAGTGTGATGCACACCCAGGAAACCACCACCACAGACAAGATAGAAGACAACACCATTCCCTGAGACATTCCCTGGCCCTTTTGTAACCCAGGCCTGTCTCTTCCCAACCCCAGGATGCCAAAGATCCCCTGTACGTCACTATCAGTTTGTGTCTTCTAATATTTCACGTAAATGAAATCAATCTTTACGCATTCTTTCCACTGGCTCCCTTTACCAAGCAAACGGATTTTGAGATTCCTATGGGTTGTGACATGCACTAGCTTGCCTTCTTTCTATGACAATGAAGAAGAGTCGGTTATGTGGACATACCACGTGCTGATACCCATTCACTGGTTGATGCACAGTGCATTTGTTCCAAGTTTTGGACACTTGTGAATAAATATTTGTATACAAATATTATAGAAATGTAAGTTTTTAGTTTCTTAGGTAAATACACAGAAGTGATTTGCTGGGACTAATGGCAAGTGCATCGTCAATGTTTTAAATAGCCATCAAGCTACCTTCTGGAGCCCTGGGAGTGGGGTAGACTCTCTTCTGTAGCACAGAAGAGTTCCTCATTCCATGTCCCCATCAGGAGCCGATATTGCTGGTCTTCTTAGTGCCTGCTGCTGTGGTGGATGGGTGGGGGTTTCTTTTGGTGGTTTTACTCTGTATTTCTTACTGACGTTGTAAGCATATTTGCAGTGCCAGTTAGCCATTCATATGTCTTTTCTATATGTCTGTCAGCTCAAATGTTTGTTCAGATATTTGAACTAGTTGCTTTCAAACTATCGAGTTGTAAGAATTTTACATATATCCCTTTTTCAGATATACTTACTAGGACAATGTGTCCTTTTCTGTGGTTTGAATTTCACTTTCTTGATGGTACTTTTTTCTAAATCAAGGTTGAGAGCTGACCGGCATGATCCTGGGTCCTTGGGTCCCATGCCTAAGAGCGCGGCACTTACTATGGTGCAGAGGCAGAGGAAGAGGAGCCAGGCAGAGTCATAACTAGAGCAGGTGTACTGTGAGCCCAGGCAAAGGGAAAATGAGCCCCAGACAGTGTCAGCTAGGGGCTAGATCGCCCCTAAATGGTTGGGCCTAGGGCTTGTGTTAGGATGAGGGTGGGGATTCGCAGTGGTGGGAAACTGTGGAGTGAGAGTGACGGGTAGCCATGTTCTTCGACCAGCACTTGCAAAGCTACCATCCATTTAGGGAAGTCAAAAGCCTTCACTGTGACAACTGAGGCATGTGCCTGTGTGCTTGGGTTGCTTCATCCTTTATGGCTTTGTGCCATGGAAGGAAGGTCATGCACTGGTCGCCTGACCCTTGGAGCAGCTTGTGAGTACGTGTGTGACCTTGGGAACCTAGTGTGTGCCCTTAACATAGGAAAGGGAGTTAGATCTCCCTTGTAGAATGTGAGTGGGGCCTCCAGGTGGCTCTGCCCAGCTCCCCAAGATGGACTTCTTTCACAACCCCACCCTACAGGGCTAGGAGGAATCTGGGTCCTTCTGGCGAAGTATGATGGGTCTTTCCTCTGGGTCTGCTCCTCTTCAGGAGCCCTTTTGCAGCTACCCCTTCTCCTTGACTCCTTCATGACCCATTGCTGTTCATTTCTACCTAATTACCTGTGCTAACACTGTTGAGGAACAAATGTGTCTAATTTTGATGAAGTTGAAATTATTTATTTTTTCTATAAACAGACTTTCAAAAAAATCACGTCCAAAAATAATTATTATCAAAGTCAAAGTTGCAAACTTTTTGTCCCATTTTTCTGCTAGAGTGGTTATAATTTTAACTTTTCCATTTAAGTCCAGAGTCCTTTGCGTTAATTTGTTCTCTCAGCATTTCATTGAGAATATGTTCCCTTCCCCAAGAACTCACCAGGCTACCTGACCAAAAACCAGTTGTCCAACTTTGTGGATCATTTGTTTACTCAGTCATTTGCTCTGCTGGTCTGTGTCTATCTACCTCCATACACCACTTTCTGGCTTGCAGAAATTCTAGAAATCTTGAACTCAGGGTACTCAAGTCCTTTCATTTGGCTTTTGTTTTGTATGAAATGCTTGGCTATTTGAGGTCATTTGCATCCCCATGCCAACTTGGGAGTCAGCAAAACAATTTCCACAGAAGCCTGCTTGCATGTCGTGACTGCCTTAGGTCTGGTGATGAGTTTGCAGACTGATGACATCTTGTTAATGTTATAGTTTCCATTTGTGTGCAAAACCTCTCCGCATTTCTACATATTCTGTCCATCTCAATGGAGATGTCTTGCACTTCTTCTATTAAATGTATTGCTTTAGAATGTGTTATCTTTTTTGATGCTAGTGTAAATGAAATTATTCATTAATTTTGTTTTTTAATCATTTGCTGTTACTCGTTTTCTGGTTTAATCTTTGGAACTTTATAAATTTATTTCTTAATTCTAGTAGATATTTTGAAATGGCTTAGGATGAATGACAAAAATAACTTCAATATCTTCCAATAAAGACCTTTACCTCAGATATACCTGATCTTACTGTGCAAATCAATTCTTATTTTGAAGCTTACATTGCATTTAGAATTTAGCCACAGTGTGTGGGTCATGTCAGAAACTTCACAGAAAGATTTGAAAATTAATACCTATCTCTGATCATGTACTTAGCAAGAATTCGCAAGTTCTTTTACAAGTGTCTGGCCATCCACCAGCTCACCACTGGTTTGTACATTTCCTCTCCCATCCCCCAATGTTATCCCATGTCTAAGTGATTGAAGAAATTTTAAACATAGCCGTTTACCACTATGCCACTCCAATATGCTTGTGTGTCCCTATCATTTCAACAAGCCAATGTGGAAAGCAACCAGAGGCACTTAGCAGACAAGAGGAAGTGAGAAGAGCTGAGGGTTCTGTTATGTGCATGCACACACGCATGCTAGTACAAACATGAACCTTGACTCAGGGCACAGGAATGGAAGCACTAAATCATCAACAAAAACGTCTGAACAAGGATTCAGCAGACTTGCTTCCTTTGTGTGTGTGTGTGTGTTGTGTGTGTTTCTCACATTTTCTTTAATAGAGCATTAGTACGTGTCAGACATGGAAACTGAACATTTTCTAATAAGAGAAAACATGAGAACATTTTCAACCATTGATTTTTAAACATGTTATAACTATTTTATAAATCTGGAAAATAAACTTCTGTGTCTTATCTGTGTTTGCAGGAAGCATCACTTGTCATTTATATGCCTATTGGACTATCTTTAAAATTATCACAGACTCATCTACAGAAAATTGAGATTATTTATGTGGAAGATGTTTCAGACAGTAAGTAAATTGTGGTGCATTTTTTAGCAGTGTGTATGCAAACAAAGATTTTGACTGAGAATATTGTATTTTGAAATTACAAACTTGAAATAAAGTAAAAAATTACATCTAGTTGAATTTCTTTAGTTAGTATAATCTAAAATTTTTTAAATGTTTGTGGTCGTCTCCACTTAAACATAATATTGCCAACTTTTAATAAGATTATTTCCTTAGTGTCTAAGGGGCATGTTTACTGTTTTGTTAAAGTATGAATACTTGCATAGATTTATAGTATTCAATTCTCTGAAAACAAATTAATTCTAAAATAATCCCCTTCACATGTTATCCTATCATGCACAAACCTCCTAATGTTTTCACTATTAGAATTGCATCCCAGGGGAGTGATGCATTTGAGGTCTGAGACAAATTTTTGAAGGCATGAAACTACCGGCCTTGTCTTCTGATGAGATTGAGTTCACCATGTGGGATGGAGAAATGGGGACCTCCAATCGTGAGTCCACTGAACTCTGCTTCATGGACTGTGCATTTGAGCAAGCAACACCCTGGAGGGGTGGCACTGACAGGTCTTAGTTTTTCCCACGCCAGCCCAGCTCACTGTGAGCAACCCGTGCAGCAGTGAGGGCATACATACGGCTTAATGAAAGGTCACCTAAAAAATCAATCCTCTGGCGTCTTGAGTACTGCAACCTTGTATCCACTGTTTGACTAAGTGCCACCAAACATAGGGTGTATTCATTGTTGTTGGGTCTAAATAAATTCATGTTGAAACCACCATTTGAGGGACCCAAAGGGAATGTGAGGGCTGGACACACCGAGATGCTGATGGATCATCCGAGGATGAAATGAGCCAGAGATGGAAAGAGGTGTCCCTGCCAGGACCTAGTGACTGCGCTAAGTGTGGGCCCCGTCCCAGGGCAGACCTGGGTGGATCTGCCCACCTCCCCTGGGTGGCTTAACCTCAGGTCGGAGGTCTGTCCCTCAGTGTGGAGGCCCTGGGTCCAGGGAAGTCTGCACAGTGGATCTCTCAGTTGGTTCTTGCCTGATTCGTTCCTCGGCTGAAGTTTCTAGGACCTCAACATGACAGGGAAGAGTTCGGAAGCAACCTGAGCACCTGGAACCAACCCAGGGAAGGAAAACTGCATATCATGAACCAAGAGTCTTGCCACCACCACACACAATCCTCACTTCCTCTTAGGAAGAATCGAATCCAAGTTCTTACCAATACATTCCCCTCCTGATGCTCCAACCACATCCGACCCGTAAATACCCGTGGGAAACTGATCACTTACAGACAGGGACCAAGTGTACAGGCACTACCTGGCTTTGTCCTTCCAGTTATTGGAGCAACACCACCTCCTCATTTCTGTTTGTTCTAAATAGGCTCAAACTCAAGGAACACATGGCACAGAACACCATACTCATTTGTGAAATAGACAATCATCAGAATTTCCTTGGGGATGAAAATCAGTGACACTGAGTGAATTCACAGAAGAGACTGTGCAGAGTCATCCAGACCTGGGAACGAGTTTCAGCACTGTTACTGGGGCTCAGCAAGCCCTGCTCTATTCCTTCTTCAAGGCAGCTTCAAGTGAACCCAAGCTGGTGCTGGCATCAGGCACAGGATAAGAGAGGAACAGAAACTCAATGTGTTAAAAAAAAAAAACAAAAAACTATGACTCTTTATGTTAGGGTCACGCTGCGGCAAGCAGCAGGTAGAGCCTATAAAACCTGGTTCTAGCACATCACTGAATAGACCTAATGGTGGGATTTCTCAAATTAACTCTGAGAGATCAATTCAAGGAAGATCAATTCAAGTGAGAATATAACTTAGTGCATTATGAAGCTGGGGTTAAAGAGATGACCTACCCTGAATCATATCTTTGATTTATGAAGTTCCATCTCACTTAAACGTGGAGACAGCAAGTAAAGGTGGGAAGATAACTAGAGGTAGGAAACGAGGGCCTGAGAGATGGCCAACCTCTGGGTCCCATAAAGACGGGGCCAGGTTGCACACCACGGTTCCTCATGCTCTTGGTAAACTCCGACCCAATGCGTCTGTCTTTAGCTTCCTTACCTTAGAGAGTCACCCTGGCCACGTGCTCCGGGACTCAGGCTCAGGGGAAGCCACTGGTTGCTTCTGGCAGCCATTACTAAAGAGTGACAGGCAACCTTTGTGCTCTAGAGACGAAAGCTGATTAGGTAGTGAGTACAAAGAACCTTGTGAAGCCAAAGGAAGAGAGGGTTCAGAATGGAAGACGTTGTTCATAAGGGGCTCAGGGGTAGAGCACTTGCCTGGCTGGAGTGAGGCCCTGGGTTCGATCCTCATCACCACATAAAAATAAATAAATTAATTAAAGGTATGATTCCATCTATAACTAAAAAAGGAGTGAACCGGGTGAAAACAACCCCCCATCTCAGGAGCTAACAAAGTCAAGTTCATTGCTGGTTCACTTTTACCTGTGCTGAGACCAAGGCTGACGGAGGCAGCCTCTGAACCTAGGCTTGCCAGAGCAGGTGAAGGTGGCGTGAGGGTGGGCACAGAGAGACTCAGGCCCCTGGCTCCAGCACAGCCTCCGTGAGCCTCCCTGGGTCCTCTCCACCGCATTCCCAACTTCCTCTCAGCATCGCAGAGCTTGGCCTGGCCCAGGAGGGAGGCTGGTGTGGGCAGCAGAGGGAAGGGACTGGCTAGTAAACTGTCTTGGTCCAGAGAGGCAAAAAGTCACGTTTATATTTACTTTGGCTTGAAAATTTCAAGATATTTTTACTGAAAATAGATTCAGATACTTAAATTTTTGGTGCATGAATTTGGAGATGTGGTTTTTCCAGCAAGTGCTCAGTGTGGGCTCACCAACTCTAAGTTTCTGAAGTTCTGTAGCAGTGGAGAATATGTTTATTGGAACTATTGAAAGCAACATCTTAGGCACTGAAAAATTCATCTTCTGAAGGCAGTTTTTTCTCCTTAGATGTCTTCTCCGAGAGCAAGCTCAGCTGTCATCACCCTTAACGAATCCCACAGAGTTTTACACTTCCTAACTGAACAGACGCAGAGGACCACCACCAGGGCAATGAGTGATCCCAACTTAGAGGGTGATAAATAATGGAAGCTGCTCTCCTCTGACGACTCCAGCATTGGGCAATCCCACGACGTGCATACGGAACAGCTTGCTGAATGATCAACTCCTAAAGCATCTAAAATTATTTTCCTAAATTGGAATCGTGTTGTTTGAGAATCTAGGATTTTAAGTAAAGCTGTGGTTTGTGGTTTTGTAATTGAAGGGCAGCTGATTACCTCACATGGACATGGTCTCAAGACCTCCTGTTCTATGTGTATAAATCCAGAAGAAAATAAGATTAGAATAACAACCCAAAAATCCAGTGCACACAAAGCAATATGTCATATGTTCTGTCCTTGCTTTTAACCCTCAGTTTACTCATCCTCAACATATGAACGCTGACCACTCACATAGAAATAAAGATGCAAACTAATTTCATCAGTTATTGAGCTGAGTGTTTATGTGCCATAGGTTTAAAAGAATCTAAACATACTCCAAGAGGAGTATGTTTAGACATTTGCGTGTTGAGTTTTTCACAGCGGGTGTTTGTGTCTGTTTTTTGAGTTGGCCACAGCACAGCTGGAGCATCCCATGGCAGGAAGGAGGGAAGGCAAGGGGCCCAAGTTGCAAGCTCCCTTTCTTTATTCTAATGACATTAATGGGCCTTGGGAGAAGGCTCCATGACTGAGGTGATCTGTACTTCTTTATCCCAGGCTTAGCTCTCAGGGTGTGCATCTTGTTAGTCATAATATCAGCTTCAGGGTGACATGCACAAGTGCCATGGGATAACAACCACTTCTTTTAAGGAGTGTTATCAGACATGGTGTTTTATCAGTGTTATCAGTCTCGGGGGTTTTATCAATGCAGTTTGGCTCCTAAAGGGATATTGTCAAATATTATTGTGACTTCTTCCAATAGGTATCCAAAGAGTACATTGACCTTCCCCTGCAGGGCATTTTAATATCTCACTTAAAACTTTGCTTCCAATGGAGGCCTTTGAGGCACGTATCTGTCAGAGTGCGTCAAGATGGTGTGAGAGGAAATGAAAGGAGGGTGTGCTGTGTGGAATGTGAATTGTGACACATGTTCCTGCAAGGGTGTTGTCCCCAACCAAACTCTCCTCTGTCAGAAAGTTGACTTGATGCTCCCGCTGCAGCAGGCTCAGCAACATCTCACATGGCCACTGGGCTTAGAACCTGAACCAATAACTCAATTCCAGCAGAAAATGCAGCAGACTGTGACACTCGGAAAGAAATGCATCAATTAACCAGGAAAACAGCTCCTGAACCAGTGACTGGTCCACTGTCACATTCATCTAAAATCCCACTGGTCATTGAACACATCACAGAGACAGGAATGTTAACAAGTGTGTATATAAATAAAGTACCTAGAGCTATTTAAACTGCCTCACACCTGACTTCAGTTTAGGATTCTTCTAGGAGAACCCCTGACACAGGGTGTCCAGATCACAGCCAGAGTTTTTATGTGCAGAGTACAGATGTCTGGGTTTTCTCCCCAGCATGCATGGAGCTTAGAAGCCATCATCCCCACCCAAACCAGAAGTGAGTAGTGGAAGGTCATAAACCCATCTTATACCTGCAGAGAAGCAAGGCCACAGAGCAAGCCCCTCCTAACTGGAGGGCAGGGTACATACAGAGAACCAGAGTTCAGTGGAACTGAATGCCAGGAGCAGAAATGTTGCCCCCCCCCCCCGGATAGAGTTGTGCAGATAGCAGCATTTTAAATACAAAGGCATAAATAGAATGCATGAGAAAGATGCATTATTCCAACACTAATTTAAGTGCTGCAGCAGCTGTATTACTATCAGACACAATAAATTCACAGTACTACCAATATGCCAATGTCTGGAACAAGAGTCCCTAGGTAGAGACACACAATATACCACTTGAGACTTGAAGGGTGAGCTTCTTGAGAAATTAAGACACTTGAGGAAAATCTATTCAGAAATATTTAGAAATTCATGTGTGTGCCTACGCATGA